AAACAGTCCTGTAATTGCAGAGCTGAGTGTGACGTCATCAAAACTGGCTTTGATTGGATGCTCCTGATGACTTTGTTTGTTGACTCATGTTGTTGACATCAGTAGCAGTCTTTATTTAACTTAAATAACTGTAGCTGGTTCGTATGTCCAGCCTGTGACTGGTTTATGTGGACTGCGTGTGGCTGGTTCATGTGGACCGCCTGTGACTAGTTCATGTGGACCGCCTGTGACTGGTTCAAGTGGACCACCTGTGGCTGGTTAGTATGTCCAGCCTGTGACTGGTTCATGTGGACCGCCTGTGACTGGTTCATGTGGACCACCTGTGACTGGGTCTGGGTTGATTTTTGATCGATATATCAATTTGCTCAGCACTAATTTCTGCTGACCAGTTGAGGACCCATATAACTAGGCCTGTATTGGTTGAATGTTTTCCCTCAGATTTAAATGAATATTTGTATGAATCCTAATTTAAAGCCCAAAATATAACGAAGAAAAATTTTCTCGAAACCCTTTTTCTTTTAATGAAGGGAATCGCTCGAAATCGGACAACTCTACTTGTCAGGATCTTTCGTCATATGTATTGTCAGCGACATCATAAACTAACTCAGAAGTCCAGTTTGGTCCATTTCCTGGAAACCTTGCAAAGAATAACTGCGGTTTCACAAACCATGACAGGAACAGTGTGCATTCAGTACCCACACTAATGTATGATTTAAAGAGTTTGGTTTTCGTGAAGTAACATAAGAAAAATTCTATATAAAATAATTGACACAAATTATACATATGTTGAAATTAGCAGTTAACTAAAAATTATTCTTACTTAGGAAATTAACCAAGGTTATTGTGTGAAAACAAAATTGGAATGAACGTTGTTTGTTTTAGTTTGTTAAAATGGCAACGAGAACTTGAATTCTCTGCGCAAGGCACACACAAAGGTACCATTTTGGATTTTTGATAATGATGACGATATATGACTAATGTCAAATCTCTTACAGGTGGGTCAATGCCAAATACCAGAAATGAATAAAAATCCACTCAAACAGAAATATTCTATGAGTATAATTAAAGACAGAATTAAAGGAAAAATTGTCAACTTTCTGGGCAATTTTTATTTGTTTTGTTTTGTTACAGATTAGCAATTCCCAGCATACATGTATATGTGACTGGTTTGTGTCAGGTTTTACAAAAGTTTGTCATACATGGTATTGTTGACGAGATCCCATAAGGTCATACAACTGACCTCTACATGTGGTGAAAACTGTAGGCCTACACCAAGCATGCATGTACATACACATGTACAGTACATGTACACTGTACATTGAGCTGCACAAGCTGTGCCCTTTGAGCCCATTGCACTGATAATACCTAACTCTACCAACCTACACACAATGGTGCTGTATAAGATATAGTCCAGGGATCATGTCCAAATGTTTAGTAAGTGTTAAGTTCCTCATGTGACCCTGTTTGCAGTATTTCAGAAATAATATATATCACCAATAATGTACATTATTTAGAAATTATATATATCACCAATGATATGCTCAACACATGAAATTTTCTGCTTGTTTGACATGAGAGAAATGTGTGTGGCTCATGCAAACTGCAAGTGGAAATAAACATGATCAGTTAAACATGACCTGGTATATTGTTTCATTCACACTCAAAGACCTACCGGATTCATTATAAGGAACTTAAATATCTTGTCACATCACAGAATTTTTAAGTGTTACTGTAAGGAGCTCATTTCAAAATATAAATCACACTTAATAGACATGTGGTTGTAGTCAATTTCATATTTAAAGCTGGTTTTTCTTTAAATTTGCATGTACACAGAGCTTACATCCAGGTCAGGAACTTTCTTCATGTGGCCCAGTGATATGGTTATTGTCCTGCATGAATTTCTCATTTAGTGCATTACCTGCAAGCACCTGTTTAGTGAAAAACTCTCAATAAAAGTAGCTAAAGAGGATTTTTTTCTTTAGAAATAGACTTAAATTTTCACATTCAGCAGTAATAAAATATTTTGGAATTTTAAGAACAGTTCCGTCTCTTAAACTCAGATGTTTGTAGACTTTATATAAACTTTTTCTGCCCGTGTCGCTTTTATCATTGAATGAGGCAGTAGTGATGTCTGTCTATTTGGCGAGCTTAGTAGAATTCATACACCCTCAAACCCTCCACAGTGCAAGCTGAAAAAAGTCCACTTACAGTCCACAGGATAAGAGAGATTCCAGCGCTGATACATGTACATGTTTATTGTTGAAACCTGCCAGCAAGGCCGGAACTACTTTCAGATGCAAATGTGTGTGCGCCCTCATAAATAAGCCATTAGTCATTCAGCAGGCATACATGTACACACATAGGCTACTGGGCACAATGCTGCTGCATAATGTGGACTGAGTGTATTTCATGCATGTAGTGCACCTCCTGGGAGGTGAAGGCATATACACATACAGTACATGTACACTGTGTATGCATATGAGCAGAAACCAGCCTTTTAATTGGACCCTAAGGGATGAGCTTGAAAAGCCAAGTTTTTCAAGTTTTATAATTTCCACGAAACCACTGCAAAAGCATTGACTGGTGTTTATTTTTCCTTTGTGTATTCCATTGAATCAGGGTAGCCATGAGATAGGTAATATGCATGCACTGCTAGCCTGCCTTACAAGGCCGGCAACCCCTGTTACACTAATGCTACTATCTGGGTGACTTCCTGGATGGTTAATTGTAACTGAATTTTAACTATTTATATTTTGGTTGAGAATTTTTAAGGTATGCAGCCTCATACATGTAATTTAGCTAGAATTTTCAGTGAGATTTGGTTCCATTTTTTGGCAATGTTTTAGTTTTCTTTGTTTTTTTCTTTGTTTTTTGTCCATTTTGTTTCAGATTTTAAGTGGAGTAAATGTTCTTTGCAGTTGTAGTTGAAGCATAAAGAACAAGTTATTTTAAGAGTAATATTGATAAATGTATGAAGAGTTCAGGAAATCAAGTTTTTGAAATTAGCAGCCAGATTGACGGGCTTATTTCATGGCTGATATCTTTAAATGCTAAAGAATAGGGAAAAACTACCTGTGGGTAATGTTGATTACATAACAGCATTCATATATGTGTTCATATTAAACTTTTCTTTTAATTTTTGATGCAACATTCTCATTTGGAAGGGAGAAAACATTCTCCCAGAGAGAAGTATGTGTACGTAAGTAAAGAATAAGTAAACATTTTTCAGTGATGAAAAAGTAAGTGTCGTTTTGATGGTCATTATGCCATGATCACTCTTTTTTATTCTCATTTCAAGGGATAAATTCAAACTGGATTGCATGGTACAAACTGACATAAATGTTTTGCTTGAAGTTACTGACACATACTTTCTGTTGAACACTTCTAACGTTTTGACATGTTTAGAGTTGAATTATAAGGGGTAATGCATTCCAATTTACTGTTAACATAATTTTAGTGACTTCCAATTGTTTTAAAATGTTTCAGAACCTACGTATATAGATTTATGCATTTTAGCATTTTCAAGTGAAGGGGTCCTGTGGAAATACTGACAGCACACCACTTTTCCCATGATTGATAGATTCTATTTGAACGGTAACGTAAATGTGTGAAATGAAGTTTCTCAACATGTAAATTGAAATGTCATGTTTACTTGAAAACTACATGTAACCATTGAGCTTTTATTAAGTGTTGAAGTGGGCAAGCTGAATTGTTGCTTAAGAGTGAAGGATTTAGATGTTAGTCATGCATTGATGGGCATATGCTGTGTTCTTGTTTTGTTAACTGCTCTTGAGACGGTCTGAAGGAGCTTCATTCAAATTGAATCAAGGGGGCTTGAGCATATGTAGGGCAAAAGGTGAATGACCAGCTGACTCCAATAATATAAGGTATGCATGCACCTGATGCTAGTTTGGTCTGCAAAACATTGCAAAGAGCTGTTGATTAACTGTGAAGAACCAGAATCTGGACATACATGTAGGCCTCTAGGAACATCTAGATTAACCCTAAAAGAACTGGAGGTGGAGGGCAGAACCCACCCCACTCTGACCTCACCCCTAACCCCCCACCCCCCTTCCCCCAAAAATCTGATATCGCTGCAGTGCATTTTTTTTCATGACGTTGGCCCTCTGGAGGTTTTCAGTAACCCTTTATGAAAATCAAAAATACTATTCTCGTGCTGTTTCCATTTTTCTCATTATAAAATTGATGGGGTTTTCCCTTTGGTGCTGAGTTATTTACTTTCTATTGTTTGATACCAGTATGTTGATATAAAGTGGTTTTTATCTGAATATCTTTGCTCACATAAGTACTTGGTGATGCAAATAATTTATTTGCTGATTAATTGGTTTCATACCATCATACTTACTGTTTGTTCTTTGAAGCTTTGATGTTTCTGTTCTATCCAGACATATTTTGATGCTAATTTGGGGGCATGTTCAAGGTTATTGTCATCATTTTTAGCACTTAAGTTCAAATGAAAGTGTTTGTATCAATCATTTCTCCGTTCATAATGTGCTTTCCCAGGGGGACAGTAGGCGTGATTCTAGAACCCTGTTTTGACAACTTGTCAACATACTTGGGGAGGAAGAAACCGGAGCATTTTCCTAGAAAGGCACAGACTGGTATCCCCAAAGAGTGTGGATTGAGTGTTAGCCACTGCATGCATAAAGCAGAGACCAACAGGGCTGATAAGGCCTCACCAGTAGGCCTCATAGCGGACGTTGCAAATACAGGGGCAATTTATAGCTTCATCTAGCTGCGTGAGTCACCCTTCCCCAACAGGAACATACCAATTTTGCTGCCTGCAGTTTTTGATTTTGTGAATGTGTGTATGCTGGGGCTGTCAGTGCTGTTTGGTGTGAGCCTTTTGCTAGATTCGTTCAACACAGTCAGCAGCATTCAATCTATCTTTACTTGGCAATTCCCTTGCTGTGATAGCAACCTGCCTAGTCACCAGATTTCCTTCATTTCCCATTTCATTATCTCTTTCTCCCTCCCAGGATCTCTCTGGTTCCTTGGATGACTTGCCAACTGGAGCCGACTTCTCTCAGAATAATGTGGCTACAAGTTCCCAGAGCACTGATTCCTACTCACAGTCATCACAGTCCCCCCACATGCATCCTACGGTGTCAGCTTTAAGGCCTTCCCCTTCACCTGTTGGCTCACCAGCTAGTCACATGTCACGCTCATCACTTTCTCCTGCCAGTGTGCCAGGTAAGTAGTCTAAGGAATCTCATACATACAGACATTTGTAGACTGTGACATGCATACAGATTTGGCAATTGGACATAATTTCTTCATTAGTTTACCTGTTGAACAAGGCCAATCAGAAAGGATCGACCATTGGTAAATGTACTTTCCGTAATGTGTTTGAAGTTACTGGAGCAGCTGATACATGTACCTGTAGTAAGTGGGAATCTGAACAAACATATTGAGCTCGTCCTTAAAAACTTCCATGCTTTCATTAGTTCTTAAATCAATGCGCTCAGGGAGCTAAGAATTTATAGAATATCATCCTGAAAGGTCAAAATCTTCCCAATTCTACATTGAAATTGCTATGTTTGTTATTCGACACAGTCAGCTGAAAGCTATCAACCAGTCAACTGCCTTGATCTCATTCTGTTCAAGATGGCATCAATTTTTAAAGTCGGCCCTTATAGACCAATCCAATAAGTCACACCCACTGTGTATATGGGCAGTTTCCAGTTGCTTCACTGCACAGCATGTGTACTGTGTATGTTCCAGACATGTAGCCATTATGTAAGTCACTGCCATGGTTTGACTGAGCGCTGTGGAGCAATGCTTCAATGGATCTGTCAATTGGGTGTACACATGGCATCAACTTTGATTCTACACATATCAAACGTTCTTTGGGAAACAGCCTCTGTCAAACAGGTGATACTTAGACCTACCAGGTATTGTACAATGTATAGATGTACAACATCCAAAATGATTGTATTCAGTTTCACCCTATAAATGGCTTGAAATATTTTGGTATGGCAGGAGGATCACTCACTCCTCAACCAACTTCCATGCCACCACCTTCCAGCCAGTCAGAAACCAGTTCTCACAATCAAATGAGTCAGTCACCAGTAGGACAAGATAGAGGTGAGATGAGCTGTTCTTCAGACATTGACCATTGGAACTTATTCAAAAGGAAGTCATTTATTTATCATGTTCCCTGAATCTATCTTATTCAGGGTAATCTGTCAAATGGGATGGTGTCAGACTGTTTTGGGTTACCATGTCTCACATTCATTTTTGTTTATGTTACTTAATACATTCAGATATGATAAATTACAAATTTTAAATAAATTCATCATTATGAATGAAATGAATCAATAGTGAACTTATATTTCATTATTTTCATTTTTATTCCGAAATAAAAAATTTAATATCACTTTCAATTCAATATGGCCAACTTTCGAATAGGGTCATTTGACGCGACTACTCACAGGTATATGTTTACAGAAACCGAACATCTTTCTTTTAACAACTAAACATGCCATAATGCAATACATGTTCATCCTAGTTCAGTAAAAAGTGAGTTGCCAAATTTGATACTCCAAATGTCAGAATGGAGAAAAATAACAGAAAAAAGACCAACATTAACATGGTTTCGGGGGGGTCACCGAAGAAACCCAGACTTTTTGAAAAGTATGTCAGAATCAGGTTCATTGGCACAGTAGTAATCTGGAAATCTCTATTGCATCAGGGGTGAAATTCCTCTGTATTTTTTGGATTTCTGTTTTTTTCAGAAATCCGATGTTCGTTTATGGATTTTTTTGGTTTAAACCTTTGTAGGAATTATTTGTGGAGTAATGTTCATGCGCGAAAGTATGTCAGAATCAGGTTCATTAACAGTAATAAATGGGGAATTCTCTTTTACATCAGGGGTGAGATTTCTCAGATTTCTGTTTTTTTTCAAAAATCAGCTGTTGGTTTACAGATTTTTTTTGGTGTAAACTTTTGTAGGAATTGTTTACGAAATAATATTCATGCGCGACTTTGTAAAGTCTAGTATAGGCAATCAAGAAGTACACAAACTGATGTTACTCCTTCGGCAATACTGTGGTATGCCCAATGGGTGTGTGGGCAGTGAAAGTAATCGCAGAAATGGGTATATTGTGTATTCCCACGCATATATGGAAATGTGTGCAGCGGGTCCAGAACATAAGTGTGAAACAAACCAGCAACACATGTCATTTGTTGTGCACATGTTATTGCAGCATAACATGGATGCCATTTTGAGTTGCTTACATACATATGGTGGATTCCTCTTTCTACAGAAATATTGGTTGATTTGGGGGATTTTTCATAGGATACATGTGACTCTAGATAGTTTGGCTTAATGGCACATCAAATAATTGACCAAAATGGGGACCTTTCTGTTGATAAAGGTACCAGAAATGCATTGAGGTTTTCATGGTTGTTGGAGACAGAGATGGATTGTGAACATGGTGAAGTGACAAAAGCAGAAAGGTGATATTGGCCTGTTACAGAGATTTCCTGGTAAAGCTAATGGTTGGACACTGCGAATGCTTGTGGTGTGTTCAGTTGTTGAAGTATGATGTTGGAGGCTTAACCACAATGCGCCAGGGGGATTTATGAATGTTGATACTGCGGGGATGAGATCTTTTTCATTTTTTTCTGTTTTCAATATTCTTTAAAAATCCATATTTTCATTTACTGGATACTTACACCCACATGAAGGACTGTCTGGTTTCTACTCTAATCTGACAAACAACATCTATTGACGCTGGAGTATTTCAGCCAGGCAGGCCGCCTTGTTAAAAGATCCCAGATTGTGCAGTGTTACGTAATTTTCTTTTGTTCATGAAACTGGTACATTGTGCTGCTGACCTCTTTTCAATAGGGGCCGGATTAGCATGCAGCAGTTTTGTGTGGCTCACCATTGCAGTGGCGGAGCACATTTGTCCCTGGTGGTAATAAGCTTGCAGTGAATGCCCCAAACTTTGGTATACTGTTTCAAAAAATGCTGGAATTTCTCCACTATTGACAGTGAAAAAATGTTGGTAATTCCCAGCAACCTGGTCTTTTGTCACAAGTAAGGTCTTTTGTTACAAGGTCCACATGCCTTTGTCCGATTTCGGAGACTGCGTCTATGCATGTAAAGAATACTTGCCCAAAACTGGGCTCCCCAGCAGCAAGTGGTTAAAGGACATATTGTGTTGTAAGAGTTCATAAAGTACGATGATTTCTTCTAAACATGGAACTTGTGTAATACAAAACTGCTGCAAACTGCTAGTTGATTTGACTACAGTGACCTAAAATATCAATCACAAAATAAGGAGACCCTGACATTTCGATCCCAGCAGAATGTTTTTAAAAGGCAGAAAAAAAATCCAACTCCTTACTTGTGCATGGTATTCAGTTGTTTGGGATCCTGCCTAAAAATGGATGTCATTTCTAAAAAGTGACCACAGTTGAATTTCAGATAATATTAGAAGAAAAAAAATTGACTGAGCTGCCTTGGGAGAAAAATTCATTAAGGTAGAGTCTATCACAGTGAAAGAATGTTTCTTCCCTAAAAATGATTACTTTTTTATCATATTAATGTCACTGTAACACCTCAATCTTAGGTCAGGTTTTTTTTGTATCAAAAGTTAGTTTTTGGCAGCATACCAAAACAGGGTTTTAAGTAAACAAAAATGCAGCTGACATTTTTCAAATGGATGCTGGTTTTGGCCTTCATACCTGGATGTACATGTAGCTGTTGTAATGTGTGTGAAATATATCATTTTTTAAAAGTGGTTTACAGATGAATTCTTGGGTAATTGGTAATTAGTTTAAAATTTATTTTTTTATCTTGTTCATTGGAAATGTCTAGTTTTTAGCCAACCAATGATGTCGGCAGCATCCCAGATTGGAACCAATCAAATGCCACCACCCTATGGATCGCAGGGAACCCCTAAGAGCCACCATGGGCAGCAACAGTCAAGTCACCCTCCCAGTGCTCCCGGAGGGTCTCAGATGTTCCCTGGAGTGGGTGTTGGTTACGCAGGAGGGGTTCCTGTAGGATTCGGACCTAATGTTAGCCAATTAAATCAGCAAGGTACAGGTATATTGATAAGGCACTGACTTGAACAATTTACCACCGTCAACAATTTCAACTCTGACTGTAACCGAGTTGTTATTCAAAAAAGTTGATGGTCTTAATGATGTATACAAGACTAGAACCATGTACAGTTTTGTCAATTTTCAGCCACCAATATTTAATACTTGGCAAAAGAAATTTAGTATTTGAATATGGAGTTCAATCCACATTTCTCTCCGTTTCCACTGTTGAGGCACTTTAGGCAGTTGTAGGGACGTGATGTCATGGCATGTTGCCCTTTCAGCTAGCCAGCAGTGCACTGGGATTGGGTTGGGAGCCGCTGCTCTGTGCAGTTGTGTGTGTAGTACTTATACATTTTGTACATTACGCAAATGGCAGTTTGCTTTCCTTGATATTGCGTTTGCTTTATGCCCAATTGAAAAATCATGCCAGGATGCCTTGGAACATACTTGCCAACTGTTCCAATGAAATCAGAACTATATGAGTAAAACAATTGCGGTTACACCATGGATAAATCTCTTTCTAGAGTATGTGTGGTTCTGAGAAAAACAGGGGAAAAAACTTGACGTTTTGAACAGTGTTTTCTCTCCGTCTTCACTCTCCCACTGTAAACCCCAACTGACACACTTGAGTAAGCACACACTCAGGTCATGCAGTACCAGGATCCAGCGCAGCATCCATTGTTCCCGCCTTCACTGTTACCGCCTCAGTGCTTCACAGAACTAATCCCTACATCTGTATCCCTCTCTACACCATATAAGCTCCACTCCCAGTTAGAATCCTGCAGTCTCCTGAAGACAGACAGAGTACACTGTTTGAAACATCAAATCTTTTTTCCCCGGTTCTTAGCAGAACTACATTTACTCAAGAAAGAGATTAATCCATGGTGTAACTGTAATCGTTTTACTCACCTTTCGAGGGGTCTAAAATCAGCTGAAACCCTGGAGTAGCCCCTGGACCCCTCCAGTAAGTGGCTCGTGCCAAGGTGCTTGCGTTCCATGTGCAATGGCCACTCTGTTTTCTGACTTTCCAATGTTGGCGGGTGTGACTTAGAATCATGCCATTGGTGACTGCAAAATTTTAGCAACCAAATAAATCCTTTTAGACTGACTGTTCAGATTGCATATAAAACTACAAGGCTTAGAGTAATGAACCATATCCTGAAGTATGAAGATCACTCAGCCAGCCACCATGAACATTTTTGCTAGAAAGGGGGCATAGATTTTTATATCAAACAAATTGTACTGTCCTGAACATTGGAGTTTGTGATTTATTCTCCATACTACACGGGGGAAGAGCTGGTCCAAATGATGGCGACCAAGGATGCCCCATCATAATTACACCACTGGCAGTAAGCCATGTGATGATACTTTGTGTCAAGTGGAAGACAGTACTTTAATGAGGACATTTTCTCAAGGGAAACAATTTGAATAGAAATTGCTTTTTATTTGATGTCTTATACTGCTTTCTGTTTGTGATACTCCTGTGGGGTTTGTCGTCCACTTTGTGTGCCAAAAGGAACTCCATACATGTAGTTCCAAGGGTATTTTTCAAGGGGATTCTCAATTATTCGTAATCCAGTAAATAGAAAAATATGCTGGCTGGAAATGTTTCTGATCAGCTTTCATATTGTGAACTTTTCTTGTGTGCATGTACATGCATGTACTCATGCATGCAGACAAATTGTTCACAAAATGTACACAAAATGCGCAGGAAGGCTTACATCATGGTGGTGCATGCACTTGTACAGTCAGTGGATAATGTTGGTTGTAAAATTTACAAGGCCTACATTGATTAATGTTTAAAATTCACTTTATCTGAGTTTCATATGCCCTTGCTCCACATCCATTTTCTCAAACTACCACAACCCACCTGTCCTACCATGACTACAAAAGTTTGTGGTGGAATTCTCTTGAAAATCGTACCTTTAGCGCATAGAACTACCATTCGGTCATTAGGAATGGATCCAGGGGCCTGGTTTCAGTATCTGGATCACTGTTCATCACATCTGTGTCAAATATTAATGTCCGTCAGCCTCTGGAAACTCAGCAACTGGGAACTTGAATCGGATCCACTATACATGAAGTTGTCTCCTTGTGGACACTAGATTTGCCATTTTTATACAAACTAGCATGGGATCTTGAATCTTTGGTCAGCAAATGTCATGGCAAAAGGAACACCAAGCATTCATCCACATGAAGGAATGTACATCCTGCCATGTTACACATGCAGACAAAGCTGAACAATTACACGCTATGACGTCATGCATAAATAATGCATAATGCGCTACATGCAAAAGGAGGGCATGATGTATAAAGTGTCGTCTCAACAATAGTTCAATGACAGCTCTCGAAACTCAAACTCTGGCACATTTTTTCCAAATAAACAACAAGGTATTAAGTATATTTTTATTTGTTCTTGACATCGAATCTTTACATTTTTTATGTATAAATTTTTCAACATCACAATAGTTGGGTTTCAAAGATCACAGAAAATTACCCCTTACAGGGCCTATGCAGTGATTTTTCTCAAGACACACTCTGTGGATCGTTATATTCTTTCTAACATGCGAAAAACTATTTAGTATTCTTTTGGAGTTGAGTAATGGTGCATATTTTAAAGCATTTCAGGTTGTCCAAGCTTCTCATGGCAATTGATGGTGCTTTTGCCGTAATGACATCCAGGGAAGACACTGTTCATTGTATTTTTGGGGGGAATTTATGAAATGAAAAATTCCTCGCAGTTTTGCTCATGAATATGGATATTTGTAGAATCAAGAAAACTAAAAAGGCATCTACTTTTAAAACAGCAAAGTAGATACTAAAAATGAAATTAACTGAAACACAAAATCGTATTTTGAAGGGTTCGAGTAAAATCATTGCATGGGTTCTTAACAAGTTAAATATTAAATGGAGTTTTATGAAAAGTGAAAGTTCCATTTCACTTGTCCTGGTGCTTCTCGTTGCTTAATAATTTCTCCATTTTGCACAGCTGCCAGTATCTCATTTCATCGCCCATCACATTCTTGAGATGTTGGGCTTCTTTGTACAAAGAATACATGGTGGCTGGAGACAAAGGAATGAGCAAATACTTGTTCTTGATTAAGTGTAGGACAAAACAGTAAACAGACACTGGCTGTGTTATTTTTTGTGGCTGCAAAAAAAAACAATTTGAATGAAAGTGTTGGAAGATAATTGAACTCAAACTCGCGTATTTTTGGTTCTTACACATCACTGTGAGTTGGGTACAGCAGCAGTGTCAGATGTCGTCTGATAGACTCTCATGTACTGATTTATATCCCAGGGAACTATCAAAGACAGGCTGGCATGCAGGGACTTTGTGGACCACCTACAAGCTACCCTTCTCATTCTACTGGTAATGGTGGTAGCAACGTGTTTATGGATGGTCGTATGCGCAATACCAGCAGCAGTAGCAGTGTGTCAAGCATGGATGGATTTAGCAACTCACAATACCCAGGATACAACTCAGGAAATGTGCCCACAAATAGTGGACCTGGAATGAGTCCATCTCAGGGCTCAACTGGAATGAACTCCGGAATTAAAAGTCCAGGACTTGGAGCAACTAGTTATGGCTATAATCATCCTCATAGAACAACAGATCAGCATAGTGTTGGACCAGCAAGTAGTAATACAAGTGGAGGCAGTAGTGGAATGGGCAGTCCAGGGTTGGGTACAGGTGCTACGGGTATACCCGGAGCCTCGAGTGAAGCAAGTATTGCTGGTGGATCAACATCCCCGGGAATATCAAACTCAACACCTAGCAATCTTGCAACAGGAAATAAAGGAGCCCAGGCTGCTGCAGAAGCTGCTGTCATTGCTGCTGCAAACATGGCATCAGCTAAAACAGCATATCACCGAACACTTGGCAGTCAGAATCAGGGACGGCAGCAACCTCAACCTTTCCCACCACCCTACCAACAACAGCAGCAGCAGCAGCCACAACAGCAGTTACAGCAGCATTGGCCACAAGTGCCGCATAATCAGGGATTTCCAAACTCAGCCTGTCCTATGCCCAGTTCTTTACCAACTTCCATGCCAAACTCTTTGACTAGTCCCATGCCATCTAGTTCTGTGGTTAATTCCATGCCCAATTCCATACCCAGTTCGATGTATGGATCAGCACCTGGGCCCCTGACAAACTCCTTACCCTGTGCCAATATTCCTGGTACATTACCACTGTTCTCCCATGCTAATTCCCAAAGGAACAATTCCTTCATGCCAACTGACAGCACAGGACAAGTGACGGCTACTATGGCTAATAGTCTACCTGGTGAGTTAGTGTGATACTGATGTTTATTGTGCATCTGCTTAGGGTTTCAGGTGTAAATGACGTAGTAAAACGTACATGTGAGCATGGTTTCCAGCATTAAAGAGTAGCTGCAATCAATGTGTTAAATGCAAAAGTTCGAAATGAACTGTTCTGTCTCAGTTAACCTTATTTTCAACTTTTGAAAGGGTATTTACTGCCTTCTTGGTTTTTATGCTAATCAGCATTTACGTATTTATGAGCAACACTTGAGATGTCATCCGAGGAAGAAAGCCTCAATGTTACATTGTACACAAAAGATCTTGAATTTTTGTAGATTGTGCTAGACTAAGTTTTCTCTTTGCTGCTTCACTGTTCATGAACTTGGCCATAAGAAAACATCCATTCTTTTCTCAAATGTTTTCATGAAATGAATTCTGGGTTCAATGAAAGGCCTATCCACTAAACTGTGTCTTCCATAAATGACATCACAGCAATAGCGCCCTCAGCTGTCCTGGAAAGCATGAATATTTGAAGTATATAGAAGTGCACTTTACAATGCATTTAACCAAATGGGAATGTGAGAGTTTTCTTTCATTGATGAAGACTACAAAGTTGCAGAAAAATTGTCTGCAAAAATTCATTGCAGCTACACTTAGTGGTTTCTCCATGCTCTTAGTGCTGCAGAACAAATGTTGCTACTTTCAGAGGATACATCACATGAAGACAAGGTCATCATGTGTTTTCAAGGTGGTAAAACCCAAGCAAGAAATAAGTCAACCATTATTTTGTTGCATTATGATCAGAGAAGTTTTATCATAAGTGTAAATGCTAAACAAACCCCGGATGGCAATCTCTGTAAAGTACTTGGTAAACTTTGTCATTATTTTTTAAATGCTTAAATATTCAGTTAACATTAGTCAAATATAGCAGACGTAGTGAGCCAAGATCTTTGCAAGGTGGCATTTCAAAGGCAAAAATTTAACACACTGTGGACATTGAAAATATGTCCAAGACATTGAAAAATGTATCAAAATTTCTGGGATGGGATCAAATGCTAAGATGCTTCTTACCTTTTGAGTAATAGTCGGCAATTTTGGAGAAAGTGCTGTTAAGTAATGTGTTACACAGAATTTCTTGGACTCACAATGTAATAGTTTTTCCATAGGCTTAGTTTCCACAGTTGAAAACCAATGAATTATTAAGAAGAATGCCTACTAAATATTGAACTGCTTTTCTGTTATCTAAGCTCTATATTGAGTACCTGAGTTTATGAATTCATTTAGGGTCTGTAGGAACATCGGTGACACCAAGTATAACAGCCCCAGTGTGCATGCCTTCAGTAACTGCAAGTGGATTAGGCAACATGCTAGACACACCTAAGAACAGTCCAGCCATGTCCAAGGAGGATGCCAGAGCAGATACACCGCAGTCACAAAAGACAGTCAAGGTATTGGCGTTCTCATTTGATAAATTTGTTTTTCCATCAATAAGAGATGCCACTTCTGTTTTATCCGGATTTCTTGTTTTTTATTTATTTTTTTACAGATCCTCGAAAATCTCCTTTGTTCTCAAACCTCCATGTTGTTTCTTCTAGCTCAAAAGAAAAGGCCAAAAAAGAAAACACGGGAATGCATTTATTTTCACCTCGAATGCATCGCGAGTTCAATGACAATTGTGCACTACTTAAGGCATGCATGTGTAGCTTTGTCCCTTTTAGTAGCCTTAAAAACAAGGCTGCCGAGCTTGCATGGAATACGGCAAGTGGTACCAGCACCTGCATGCCTTTATGATCGTCAAAACAACCAGTTGTGGCAGTGCCATGTGTACCAAGTATGCACATTGTAGTGAACTGTCTGAACACGCACCTCATGCGAGTCAATTATGTGCTTGTTGCTCGGTGGGCGTACTGAGCACATTTATTACTCGGCCTATAATTCAAGACTATCATATCAGTAAGTGGTTCGCAATCACAGTGATACTATGAATAGGTATATTGTACATACATGTAACAAGCCAAGAACCAACTACATCGTGGTCGTGCATGTGTTTTCGCAGAACGAACTGTTGATCAATGTCTACAATGCAAGTGTGCACGGTTTCAAGTAAGAAATCTCATGCAACATGCTGCAGATTTTGTCAAAGTATGGAAAAATTAAAAAAATGTTATAGAAAGAATGGACAACTTAAAAGCCATCGAATCAAAGGTGAAAAGTACCAAAAGTGGAACTGGACATGGCTGCTAGAGAAGTAAACCCCAGTCGTGCGCTTCAATGCTTTTTGCCACTAAGTTGTTTCTTTCAGGCAGACTCTGTGAGCATCTCTGAGTAATACGTTACCATGATATTACTCCCAAATATTTTGTGCAGGTATCAGCATTGAATTTTGACAGTTTGCCCTGGCAGTGTTTTTTTGGTGGCTTCAATTGTGGGTCATATAAAAGTACAAGAAAGGAGAACAGTGCATAATAACAAGGTTAAATTGTGTACCAGGTGCCTTAGTACCTTAGTACATGTACATCATGAACATTTGACTATGTAAGATCCAAAGGTCCAGATATAAAATGCTTTGACATTATTCGTTGAATTGTTTCTGGGATATTTGCATTTCGTTTGGCACATGCGTACTGTAACTGCTTTTGTCTTTGATAGTGAAGTGGTTCTAGACCTGTGCTATAAAAAATAGAGAAGGCAAATTAGCGCTTGGATCATTATATCGTGACTTAAGCGTCAGTCTCCTTCTTACAGATGTTTCTGCACAGGATGTATTAGACAGTTTCTTATAATGACAACCATAATAAAATTGTCTGCTGCTTCGCAGTCATACACTTTTAAAAATGAATATAGTAAGAAGCTTCTAATTTTTTCCCAATGCAGATTTTAAATATTTCAGAAAAATATTTTAAACGATTTCCCCCGATGCATTTTTTGAGTGAACTGAACTAATAACCATGCCATAAACATATAACTGTCGTTGGTTGTATATTGAAAATAAATCTGGTAATTGTTTCTGATATTTTGACCCTGATAGTTTTATAATAGTTTCTATTTCCTAAGTTTCTGTTACCTTGTTCTGCCCTTTGAAAGTGGCAAATTTCATGCTAATTTAATTGAAATGAAGTGTAGGCTATTGAGAAAGAAACCAAAACAATGACACTAAGAGTAGGAGAGGCAAGGAAATAGGAGCCATCTTAAAAATGGAATTGGAGATGTATACTATGTGCAGGTGACTAGTGAATTTCAGTTGTCGTGGCGACTATCAATAAATAGTCACGACTAGTCGTGACTATTAGCATTGTTTATTTATCCATTAAAACCATGTCCACAGTTGCATAACGTAACATGGGGTTAAATTTGAATAATGTTACACTGTGCATTCCACACATTTTGTTTCGTTGGGATGGTTGGATTTTACACTTTCATGAATGAAATATGAGGGTGTTTTTTAGATGGAAACTTTCGTCAAAAAGGCTTGTGATATTCTATCTTTGTTTTCTGCTTACTTACGACCACTTTTCGGAAGGAAACCTTGATGTGATCAACTTTTTTGCATTCAGCACTGGTGCCCGACCTGTGACACACTGCTACGATTGCAACAATGAAGGACAGGAACTAGTTTATGGCCGGGCATTGCGCGTTGAATCGGTCTGCGAGTTCCCTTCAGTTGTGGAGTCTGATTTTCATGAACACATCAAATCAAGAAGGGAATTAGCCGCAGATCCACGAACATAATTTTATATTGTTTGTGTATGTACTCAATGTTTTAACGTCTTTATTACGAGTTTCCACTGTCTCACAAGAGACAGAACACTCATGCAGCGTGGTAAATTTTCAAGAAATTTTATATGAACGTGGTTTTGTGGTTCGTTACCTGTGCGGACCCACCTCATGCACAGTGCGGCCACGCATATTTTGATTGATACACGCCATTGTGACTTCAGTTTTTTGTACAATGATTTTTAAGAATCAAGGGTTTTAGATGTATTTTTGCAAATGATCAACGCAAGTTTTTTCACGTTTGAGAGCCGCCATTTCCACAACTTATGTCCAAAGTTTCAAACTACACATTTTTTTAAGGCTTCTCCTTACTAGTGGGAAAAAACTCCTTGAAATTTCAGAAAGGATTTATTCCTACATGTTTTGGCGGACTAGTTTCGTACAGAACACTAATTTATCTGACCCCACCATTGTCACTTTTGTGGTGTTTACGTACAATATGTACATGTCCATGTATGCTTAAGCAGCACATGTGAGTAGCTTACCAGAATGCTAATGAGTCTTCAAACGTGCATGATGCATGTAGACGGGCAAGGTGTGTCCTGGATAGTCAGTCACGTTCACATGACTTGGACACTTCCATTTTCTTCAAGGGGAGGGATGAAACCCTGTTTTTATGTAAACGATGTCAGGACAGCTTATATCGAATAAAATATTTTCAGATCACTTTGCACAGAAAGAAATTATTGATATATTCAAACAAAATTCATTTCACAAATGTGAATACATTGAAAACTAAATAAACAATAAATGGTACCTATTTTGGTCAATGAATTCAACCAGGCACTACACAGTTCTTCAAATCAGCCTTGCGATGGAGGAGGAATTACAGGAAACGATTAGAATCACACATTCAGAAATTAAACAATGATTTGTGAAGAAAAATTTGTGACTAATAAAAAAAACCCTATCACGGTGTGTACATTCATTACAAATCCTTTTATTTCACAGACATGCAAAAAAAGGAACAATCCTAAAGCTTAGAGCTCAGATGCATGGCCCTACTCATGAATAATAATATCTTCAAGCAAGAAGGATTATGTTTGCGCCCATGCCGTGCTCTGTACAATCATGTCCATTTTGAACTCAGCTCATCATGGCTGTGATGTACTGGCACTCAGCCCACACGACTGTGACTAGTCGACAATACCATCAAGAAAGGAGACAAGGTATTGGAGGTCGCTCACGACTATCAAGTTATGTAGCGTGTGCAAACCGACTACCCAAGCTCATTGTACAAAGTATACAAGGGCATGATGCATCGCCAGTGTGTGGCTGCTCTGAACAGGCAAGTTCTGTGCACACGTGGGGCAGCGCTGGTCTGTGGGGTCTGATCAGTACTCCACTCCGTAGTTCTAGGCACACATGTAGTCACTGGCTATGGCGCTACGAGTTCCAGCCACTGGTCGTGACACAGTCGTGACTATCTGGAAATTGATAGTCGAACCCCCATAACCCAAAGGTATTGGCAACTAGTCGCACAGGCCTAATGTAAACTGTGTTAAGCAGGGGTGTGAAATCTGATGTTTAGCGAATTTCCACTTTTTTGTTGAGTATGCCGAATTTTGTTTTCCGCTTTTTACCACCTACAGCACAGATTTTCCTAGTTTTTCTTCCATGTGCAAGCACTGATTTTTTTTTTTCTGTTTGTTTCTTTTTCTACCGCCGCAACGGCCAGGCCAAATTTTGCATGTCCTCTTTCTTACACCAAATGCCAGCAAAAACACAGTACTGAAGTGCCGTAATGCATGTGAATGTGATTTAATCAACTTTACATGTACATACGGCCTGGCTTGAAGTGCAAGTCTTGTACGTAGACAGCATCCTGGGAACCATCCGGTCATTGTTGTGATTAGCTGCAAATAAAATATCAGTATTCATATATGTAGGGATGAGATTCTTCCACTTTTTGGTAGATTTCCGCTTTTGGGAATTTGAAAGTCTGCTTTTGCAAATAGGTTCCGCCTTTTTAGACTGTCGGAAACTTCGACAGTCGACTTAGAATTTCCGATATTTTGAACTTTTCCTACCCATTTCATCAAGATAATTTTCGACTTCCAGGTATCAGATATGATAAAATATAGCCTCAATTTGTTGTGAAATAAAATGAAATTGCATTTCTCGTTGCTTACTTTCCATGTGCCACGCCATTTTTATTTCGTCGTAAGAATATCCAAATCATCGACCACGAAGAGCATGACATGTACATGTATGTCATGCCATGCATGCCATACGTTCATGTGTAGTTTAGGCACACGCTGTCAATGTACATACAGATCTGAACCGGTACCATGCTAGAATTGGGAGATAAGATTAAGCAACACATTCCATTGGCTCTTTTCGCAGACAAAAACCAGTGCCGACCAATAACCATCTCTGTAGGAAATGTGTTTGTTTCCAGGTAACTGTTGGTTGTCATGATGGCTCTGATGTATCCTCATATAAGCCAATGACTGTGCACTTTTCATGCTACTCACCACATGCACGAGTGTAAAGACCGCCATACGAAGCCACTGGGCCTGCTACCCTGAATACTTTTTGTGTGTTATCACAGAAAAACGTATCGCCGTGTGTGTTGTTGAATAGACCTTTCTTATCGTTACATTTCCATCGTCATGTCTGCCCGTAAAGACATCATTCATCAAGACGAAGAAAGGTGAAGCACATTGACAAA